GGATACATTGAAATCCTTACGACGATGTCTAAATTCAAGAAGTCGTGCCTTCCTCCTCAATGGAACGGATTTTTCACAATCCTCTTCAAGGGTTTATCTGAAAGAAGTGCAGGTTCTGACGGGGCCAGTCGATTATTCATGACTATTATTTATGGTCTGTATACTGGAATCAATCTTGATTATGGTTCGATTTTTTGGCGACAGTTGATCCAAAGCCTTGGCTCCTCCTCTCGGCATACAGAAATATCTTATGCCAGGTTTTGGACGATCGTCACCAAATGGGCCATGGATAAATATCATGTCCTTACAGTGGCCAACTCTCCTCTCTCTTTAATTGGTGTGTTTCATACCACCAAGATTAGTGTGACTGATTCCTCCAAATTTATTTTTGTTGGATCCATTCCAGAGTCCATGTCCGCCGGTGTATCCAAGGAGAGCAGGATCTTCAAAGCTTACAAGGAGTATCCTCCTTCGGGACCGAGAGAGTTGACCCCTGAGATGATTCAGTCCATTAACGACGCAGACAAACCGGCCACAAGGTGGAAGAAACCAGAGAAGGGGAAAATAAAGAAGGTTGCAAAAGGGGCGAAAGATCCTACCCCTAAGAAGCGAAAGTTGTGAAAAGCAGCCCCATATCCTCCACCGAAGAAGAAGAAAACACAACCGAAATGTAAACTGGTTCTTGCTTCTTCGAGTGATTCCGAAGCTGAAAGTTCAGACTATGAAGAGTCGATCCGAGGCGACTCTCCTCCCGTTTCTCCCATTCATGAGGTACTTATTCTCACTGAACCTATCTCTTCTCCTCCTATTACCACATTTATTTCCATTCCCACCATAACCTCCTTTATTTCTATTCCCCCCATAACTACCTCTACTACCATTCCACCCACAACTATTCCTATACCACCACCCATTTTCTCCGACATCACTACAACAACCACTGAAGTTCGAACCAACATATCTGATACGGGGGCTCATATTTTAGCACCAGAACATACCCCTACACCCGAACCTACTTCAGCACCCGAACCCACTTCCACTACCGAACCATCCGCTACACCCTTATCTCCCACTCACTCTGCTGAAACCGAAACCTTTCTGGGAGGGGAGGATATGACCTTTAAATCCATCTACTACAGCCCCTACCAAGTTCAAAGTGATGATGATGATGATGCTCCTGTCACCAAAAAGCACATCAAGGAACTCCACGAGAAGATTGATAATCTCGTGGCTTCCTCCTCTACCTCAACATCTCACATCTCGAAGGCCGCCATTAAGGGGATGGTGGAAACTTTAACCAAAGCACATGAAGCCTCATTTAGCTCCGCTACTACTGCTATTGACAACTCTACAAAGGCGTGTGCTACGGCGACCGAAAAAGTCGAAAAAGTATTTGATGATGCTAACATTTTTCTTGAGTCTTTGCAGGGGGCATCCGAAACTAATACCAAGAAAATCCGCACGGTTGTGGAGAAGCCGGTCACTTCACTGGAAACAGAAAAACAACACTTTGCCAGATTTTGTCAAACCCTCAAAGAAGACAATCAGTCCTTTCACTCTTCTGTTGCGGATCGTCTACTCAACTTCCAAGAAACTCTTGCCGCCGATTCTACTGTAAAGGATGAGCTTGCTCGTAAAACTTCTGAGCTCCATCTTGCAATTCATCAGCTCTCCCAAGCAGAGAATGAGATCGATTCTCTTCGGTCTGAGAAAGCTGTGGTTAAGAGTTGTGTTTCGGATGTTCATGAGGCTCTATCCAATATCATTGAAGCCCATGATCCGATTCTTAACTACTCGGTGAGGCGCACTCTTGCAGAGAAGCTTGCTCCCGCCCTTGCCTTGCTTAGCCGAATTGAAGGGCTTCCTGAGTAGGAGGAACATTCAAAACAAGGGGGAGAAACGAAGGCCATAGCTCAATCAAAACCCCCTTCGATTCCCAAATCTCAATCACTCCCAGTTTCTTCACTAGTTCCTCCGAGAGCACCCAAACCAACAACTTTTCCTGCATCAGGTTTGAGTGCTCAAAGCAAAGACAAACAGATTATCAATGATAGTGATGAAAGTGAGGACCAAGAACCAATTGCCAGCATTCTGAAGAAACAGGCCAGAGAGAAGGAGCTTGATGAAAATGCTCGGATCGCTAGAGAGGCTGAAGCGAATGAGAGGAAGGTAAAGGAGGCTCATGATCTCCTTGAAAGTAGAAAAACTCTATTTCCTCCTTGGACTCTTGAAGAGCTTGTTAAAGAAGCTATCGAGTCCCCCAACACTCTTTGGCTTGAACCTGTGATCTCCTTGGACCGGGTTAATTCGGTGGATTCCTAATTTGACATGCCCTTGACCAGAAAAGCTTTTATCTTCCATGCATTCGCCCACATAGTTGAAGTTCCTCATCCTCACTCGAAGGTTGATAGGGAACTTATAGACTTTTATCTGAGGACAACTCAACCTCAGTATCAAACGTGGATCGCACAGAAGATTATCAATGTTCGGGTCCTGAAACCCATTCGGGAGGGTAACTTCACTAACGTCAGATTCAAGGTCTTGAGGGGATTCGACAAAACCGAGCATGCCATCTCTCTAGCCGATCTTCCCAACTTAAATCCTCATGACTGGATAATCCTACACAACATTCTTCTCGTCAATGAAATGGAATATGGTCTGATCATAGATCATTTCAAGAGCATGTGGGTGTGCTATATTTTGGAGGTTGCCAAGTTGGATCAAGAAGTTGCAAATGTTCTTAGAAAGAAGCCTACTATCACTCCAGTCGGTTCTGCAAGTGATTTAAATAGAATGCAGATGGGAAAGATTGACCCAAAATGAAACTCAGTCATGTTCACCAGGGCAGAAGGTCAGAAATGCTTATTTGCTTTGGCTGACAAACATCTTTACACCACTTCCTGCTTGGAGCATGTTCTGGGAATCATCAATCGGTGCAAGCAGAATTCGGAGAGTGATAAGAAATACTTCAACGACATGATCAATTGGTATATTCACTTCCAACAAACACTTCTAGCTATTATTCCATGCCTGTTCAAGATCGTGAAGAAAGCCGGTGCCGCAGGTGGAGACAAACTGAAGTGAGGTCTCGCCCCAATTGACACAAAGGGGGAGATTGTTAGGTATATGGTGTTGCGTCTTGGGCTCGTCTCTTAGCCCTATTCTGTATCCGGTATGGGCCTGTCCATCCGTGATTTGTTTGTTAGGGTTTGAGCATTAATAGCTGCTTGCATGCATCTTTTTATTTAGTTTTTTGGAGTAGATTTCACGTCTTGTTTTGAAGATATCTTTTGTAACCCTAGAATCCTCTACAGCGGAAGTTCTTAATCGAGCTCTACTGAGGATTGAGTAATCTAATCATTCGACTCATTCAGATCCATACTTGTGTTTTATCTCATTGTTTTTACGTTCATTATTTACCTGTTACAAAGATCTAATCGATCAAAGAGTTGTTATAACTCAACAATTTTCTTGTAGTGCAAAATCATGTCGAATAAAAGACACGTAATTATGACTATTTGAGATATTGGTATATGGTCTTTGGGATCTTGGATTAACATAAATTTCCCACATGTTTAATAGTTGAATGTCGTTATTCTTACAAAAAGAGGTGATATCAATATAAGTGCATCAAACCCATCATTTATCGTCTTTTTTTAACGTTGTAGTGGTTGATTTCACCAAACTTATAGCATTCACAATATCTCGCTCCTTTCTTTGTAGAGCTTGCGAAAATATGTTTATGATCATCATAATTTTCAACATCAACTGCAAGTGCAACACAAAATCAAATGATCGAAGATATATTCGAATACTACTTGCTTTAGTTCGACTAAAACTATTTAGTCATTCATCTTCAATATATTCAAGCACATCAAAACATATGAAAACAAACCAATCGACACGATATAATTTTGTAATAAGAATTCCAACATGTATCTCCGGATCTAGTAAGAGAAAGTTGTTGGTTTAATCTACTTCTGGTTTCAATTTCACCGGCACACACAATATTCATTAGAACAACTACTATATCAAAAAAAAAAAAAAAAAAGAGTCCAATATTGTGATGTTTTTTTGTAGCTGCGAAAATAATTTGCTGAAGTTGGTGAGCAAAACAATGAACATAACATGCGGATGTATTTTTTTCATGACTAAAGATTTTAAACCACTAAAATTTGCATTCATATTGCTTGCTCCATCATAACTTTGACCCCTGATATATTGTTTGACTCGTGAACTTATGAAGCAAAAATGTCATCACCAATTTCTTCAAAAAATGATTAAAGTACTTCTTGTGCAAAAACAATCAATACCTTTTGAATACATGGAGCCACCATTTAATTGTTTCACAAACATTTTGTAATGTAACTTAACACTTCCAAGAAATTTCCTCTAAATAGACACTTAAAACTCATCGTGGCCAAGGAAAGGTAACACATATTTCAATAAACAGTTACAAACATCAATGGATGCATTTAATCAATTTCGATGTTCACTCTTAGCAACATCATTTTACTTATGAAGAGAGTAGCAATTGATTGAGCATTAAGTCTCCACATTCATTACGTGCGATATAGTGGGAACTAGCACATGTTGAGTTTAATATAACAATGGTATACACAACTCCATTGAAACCTCACAGGTTGTTGCAGTATACAACAAAAGAGCCAATAAAAATATTAAAGATATGTAGAATACCCATGACGAGGTAAGGTAGAAGATTGCACAATCCAGTTAATGCTAATACAAGGCAACAATTTAAAAACATAAGCATCCAAAGGTATTTGTGGTAAGAGATGAAGTGGTGGTCTACATTCGCAAGAAGAAATTTCCATTAGGAACATACAATAAGCCGGTCAACAAAAGTATGGTCCATACAAAATTTTGTCGAAAATTAATGATAAAGCCTATATTGTGGAGTTGCCTAAAGCTTTTGCTATACCTTAAATTCTACCAGCAAGAGGAAGTTGTCCATCCAGCGCGAAGCTTTTGAAGTAACATCAAAGGCTATGTGTGGTAAAGTTGAAGTTTGCACAAGAAGTCTTTTTGCTTAATAAAGAAGAACTGAACCCTAAACTTGAGTTGACTAGATCAAAGAACAGAAAGTAATTTTCCATTTGAAACGTCCCGATCACAATCCCATGTTCACTTGTCGCACCACCATTAATAATTGCAAGACAAGCCACATCTTTCCCTACTTGTTGCATGGAATTACTTGAGGATATTATCCATATCTTCCCACCTTGGAGTTTCAAAATGATATCCGGAATCTGCAAACTGGCAAGGGAATGTCCAATACGATTCTTTAAACAAAAAGCAAAGGGTGCCACTGACCTTGCACGGAGGATTCCCAATGTAGCGATTGAAAACATACGAACCACTTGCTTATAAATATCTGCTCTAAGAATGGTGTAAGACTCAATCGTACTAAGCTTGGTGGTGCTTTTTGAAACAACAATGGACATTCCCTTAATGATTATCGAATTGACACCAATAAAATAACCAAAAGAATCAGTATCATTTAGTAACGGAGTATAAGACAGGAAACTTCTTAGATCTACATCTAAGTTGGGGAGAAGATAATACGGTCCACTCCCAAAGAACATAACCCCGTGAGGTGACGAGGAGCTAGGTAAACATATATAGAGCAAAAGCTTTTTTAAAAGGTTGGAATAAATAAGCTGGAAATGCATAAGGAGATGACGAAAACGCCATGACACCACTAACATGCGCAGGGAATGACTCAAACATGGAATATGGAGCACATGCCGCGTTAGAGTCTGTAACATAGAAATACCGAAAACTGTTTCTACCATCAGTTCCCCTAAACGTGAACCTGTCATAGTTGAGCAGAGCTTGACCACATGTTCCGTTAACAGGGTTCAACACGTTGACTGGGCATATGCAGTCTTCCACACCAGGTAATGTCGAAGTGTTGGTTAATGGAAAACATGAAGGACTTTCATAAGAATAATATGTGCGAACATCCGTGCATTGATACTCTTCACAAGAAACTGGGTGAGTTCAACCGAGGCAATTGCTGCTTTCATTAATCCAACTATTCCAGTCCACAATGCAGTCATGCCATGTGAAAGGAGCGTCTATGTCAATAAAGAAGTTTTTATATATGCCTGGTATGTATACCCATACAGCCATCTTCATCTGAATGCTATAGAGTGGTGTAGCTGCATCAGCATGTTTTGTTACTGGTGCAACTTGGGAAGTGAAAGGTTCTAGATATTGTGCTATGGCTTCAGGTTCGTGGGAGATGAAGGCTAGAAGGAGAAGAATTAGTTGTAGATGAAGAACCATGTTTTTATGTTTCCTGAGGGGAATGATTGATTTTATAGAGATATGCAAAGAAGAAGTCATTGACCCACACAACTCAGAATCTTGTAGTATAACAGTATAAGTAATACAACTTGGCGAAGAGTTGAATGTATGGTTGTTACTTGTAATAAAATAAGGCGTAGTTTGATTTTAAAAACTAACTGAACTTTATGTGAAAACAAATCAAGATCATGGACTTAGTCGTCGTCACGCATAATAAGAGATTTTTAATAAAATAATTTATTGAACAAATCCTTGATAAAATAGAAATTTACAAAACCGAAAATGACCTGTAAGCCAATCAAGTTTTCAAAGCGTTCAAAAAACAGAATTATGTTTTGTCTGTTCAAGAAACCCAACATACTTAACCTTTTGTCTAAAAAACTCAACTAACTTACACTTTCGTTCCCTTCTCATTTAGTGTTAACTCTTTAATGAAAGTCAATCAATGACATGACTAATGACGTGTAATTAAATATTAATAAATGACTTTTAAAACCAACAAAGTTTCAAAATCGTTTAAAAAAACACAATCAAGTTTTGTTCGTTGAACAACTCTCAACGAACTTACACTTTTGTTCAATTCTATTAAAGACAAACATATTCATTAGCTATATAACTAGTTGGGAAATTATATGACATTATATTTAGAGAAAATTTCATTTATATCCTTACAAACTTTGAATATTACTTTTATATCCTTACAAATTTTAAAATTACATGTATATCCTTTTCAAAGTAGAAAACTCACATTTATATCCAAACTCATAATTTAATTACGATTAGATAAATTTAATATTAAAAATCTTATCTAAAATACAAATTGTCATTGATATTACTAAAATACCCTTTACTAAACTAAAGATTAGGACTAAACCTAATTAAAAAAAAAAAAATCGTGTGCCAAAAACTTCCTACCTGTTTCTTCCTAATTGCAGATTCTATAGTTGACTCCTCTTCTTCATCGCAATAGTTCATCATCTACTACATTCGATTAATGTTTTTGCATTCAATTAATTGTTGTTCTATTAATTTTGGTTCGTAATAGAGAGAACTCACTATCTTATGTAGATCATAACCAGCAAAATCATTGGAATCATTAATAACCCTTTGTGAAAAAAAGATTGAAAATTACATTTTCTCTTAAAGCGTAATCTTGTGCTTGGTTTTGTACTTTCTATTATGTGTGTCTTTCTCTTAGACTTCATTTCATAAACAAATCAACCAACTAAATAGTTATTATAAACAACTCTGATGCATTTGCTTTTTTATTGGGTTTTGTTTAGATATGATATATATATATATATATATATATATATATATATATATATATATATATATATATTGATTGCTAAGAGAGAGATATTTTATAGAGAGAGAAAGGGCGATGGGTGGGAGTTATGTTGATGTAGTGTGGAAAGGGAAATATTTGCTCATGCGAGAAGGTGGAGGCTAATAATTGGATGACAATTTCCAAGTAACCTTCTGTTATGGTTTAGTGTGTCTATTTCGAGGTCGTGCCATTCTTAAGTTGTGGATCCACATATTTACGGAGGAAATATTTTCTGTTTATTGTGAATTTGCTTCTTTGTATTCCATTAACATAAATTTATATTAAAGAAATTCATAAAAAATTATTGTATATATAGATCTTGGTGACCTATTAGTGGGAATATAAAAATGATATGTGAAACTATGATCTCATTAAAGGAGAAAAAACAACTTTTGAAGAGGAGAAAAATGAGTTTTGAAGCTTTTCACTATTAAATGGTTAAATACTAATCTTTAATTAAGGAAGGGTAGTTTAGTAATATCATATGTTATTTTAAAAGTTTAGATATGTTTTTCAATATTAAATTAGTTTAATGATTTAATCCAAATTAAAATATGAGTTTGGATACAGATGTAAATTTTATGTTTTTCTAAGGATATATACGTAGTTTTAAATTTTATAAGGATATATAAGTAATATTTAAAGTTTGTAAGGATATATATGAAATTATCTATATTTAGAGACAATGAATAAACAGATTGGAACTGCCCTTTATATATTGATTTAGGGTTTGGAGTAGAAAAATACAAACGGCGTTGTGTTTGATCTCTTGTAATAGATACTTCTTAATCTTCCTCTCATGGGCTTGTACACGGAGGTGGAAACTCAATCCCCATTTTCTATTCCATTCTTGCTTGGATGTGTTCGGGATTTTACACTCGGAAATTTAGATGTCTAAATTTGGAGGACTATCTCAAATCACGAGTATATTTATCGTGATGCTAGTGAGGCACAAATTTGAAGTACGTTTCATTGATTCCTTCATCGCCTTGTCACTTTTTCTATCATTCACAAGCATCCTGGCGATAAGGTTTCCATCCAGAATTTGTTTTACTTGTGGAGTATCATTACGCCGGGGGTTTTTTGTAATCTTTCCTACATGCTTGCACGGGTTTTGGGGAAAAAAGCGGTCGGTTCTAGGCAAGGGAGTCTAATCACGGCGTGACATCTAGTCACCCGCCTTGCCCGGTCTTACGGAATTTTGTCTCCTGATTTTGTTAGGAATCTTACTCGTTTCCCCGACAATGAATTGACACTTCAAGTGTTGGGTATTATGAGGGTGGTAGTGAATGTTGGGGGCGGCTATGTGGTACCACTAGAGGATGGTGAGCAACATAATGAACAACTCGAGACTGCCCTTAGAGGAATGTTATAGGACGAGGAGAAAGAGGGTAGCCAGTGCATCAACACGCACCGTTTGGAGGAGATATGGCGGGATATTTTGATCAGTTATCCTTGAGCACTAATTGGATAACAGGTATAATGGAGAACATGGTCCGACATTTCGGTATTGAGCAACCAACATCTTTGGGGAGTCAATACCCCATTTGTCCCACATGGAGCTCTTATCAACATTTAAGGGGGGACGAAGACGGAATGAGTGGAGCCTGAGATGATAAGGAGGATGATTGATCATTTTCGTTTTTATTTTTTTAGTTTAAATTTGGGTTGTGTTGTTTTTGAACTTGTTTGGTTTGTAAGACATTTTAAATGATTATGTTACTTTTATGTCCTTTTGGTGGTTGAATTTTAGATTGCTAAAGGAGTCTCGGGAAGGAAAGTCGAGTCAAGGGCATATATGTCTATACAAGTGTCGTTTAGCGTTTAAAGTCGATAGTCGAGACCCAGAATTGGAAATAAGTGTGGGGTGAGTCGAGAGAGAGGATAGAGTTAGAAGAGTTGTCAAATAATGCATTTAGAAGGGTCTTAATTCATTAAGACATTGGTTGAAGTTCATTTACAAGAAACATGGGTTGGTTTAGTTTTTTCCCAGTTTTCACGTCGCGAGTCCTTATTCCTCACGTCGTGAGATGGGTTAAGAAGGAATTCTGAATTTATATTTAGCAACCTCACGTCGTGATCGCTATTAGTCATGTCGTGAGTCGTATATTGTGACAAACATGCAGCCTTTTCATTCACCTTTCCTACATGCTTCACCACCATTCTCTTTGGAGTTATTTTGAAGATTATTCTTGCTAGTTTCCTCCACTTTATAATATGGCGTATGCTTTCACATATTATTCTTCACGTTTTCGAGATTTACACCTAGTTTGTTAAAAATTGAAGTTTTGATTCGGGAAGGTGTCTTATATATCTCGCAGTGATCAAGATCCAAGTTCTTATTTTGAGGAAGTTTCATATTCGAAATGCACATTTTATCCGCACGATCGGAGTTCGATTCTGCCACTTCTATCCTAGGGGAGTCTGTTCCTTTTTCTCCTTTTTGATTGCTTTTTAATTATTTTATGCATACAATGATGGCATTATATGTACTAAGTGTGAGGTAGGGGTTGAAAAAGTAAATTGCTAGAAATATGTAAATTTAAAAATTTTCGTAGGTTTGCAATAATAATCTGATAATTAGATCTAGTAATAGTTTGAACTTTAGTTGCTAATGTTGAATGGGGTGATCCGATGAGAGCTCAAATGTTTAGTTGAACCAATATACGTTATAGTGCATTTGTGGCCCCCTTTATTCTAGTGAAATCATGGGACAAAAACACAACCTCGCTTAGTTTGAGCGATGCAATATGTTTATCACACTGTACTTGAAATGTATCTAGGAAAACTAATTTCTTTAACCAATAAGGGTTGAAGTTAAGCGCCCCTACTTAAGCATGTAAGGTTTTGAGTGAAAAGAAAAAAGTGAGTAATGTAAAAAAAGAGAAAGTATCAAAATGTTGAAGAATTTTTGGAGCTATGAAATATCAAAGTTTAAAGATCAAAGATAAAAAATTCTAAAAAATAAAAGTTGAAGATACCGTAAATCACACAAAAAGGTTGTGAATTCGAAGAAATAAAAGAGTTAATATCAAAGAAGTGAAGAATTCATGAATCTCCATTGTGGTATCTTAAAGTTGTAATTCTGTAGTTGATGTATGCTTGGGTAGCTTTACAAAACTACCTTGAGGTTAGGAAGTTTTTTGCAGATGGATTCGGATGGATGCATAAAATGAGCATTGATCAAAAGAAGTGGGTGTGTGTTTATGAGGATTGTGAGTATACATAACTACGGGGGTCTTTAGAAAACTTTTAGCCACAAATGTATGCGTTGAGGTCTTGACATAATGGCTAAGTTTGAGTTGGATCGTCCTATGTGATGTTGGTGATGAAGGTTTTAATTAAAAATAGTTAATTTTGCTTGAGGGCAAGCAAAGCACAAGTGTGGGGTATTTTAATATTGCAATATTTATGCATATTTTAAGGCAATATTTATTATATTTTTATTAATAATGTGGCTATTTGCATAGAATATTGGTACTTATAAGCTTAAATTATATTTTGCAGCCAAATTGAAGCATTTTCAAAGAAAGGGACCAAAAATGACAAAACATGGAACTTTGGAGACTTGGAGTACAAAAGTAAAAGAAACCCACCGATTTAGCTCTAATCACGACGTGAAATAGAAGGCCATGACGTGGCATGAGTTTTCTAGAAGATAAGTGTTCGCGAAGTAAAATCCTTGCCCGATAAGGATTCCTCTTAAGTC